ACCAGGATCACGAAACTGCGGAGGAAATCGGACGAAGCCCCGAGTCAAAATGCAGCCCCGGAGCTTCAGGTGTGAAATTGACATGTTTGTGTTGGGGCAAACGGCACTGTGCTGCGAGGCAGCTCTAGTGAGAAATCGCCCTGAGTCTCTTTTTCCTGACTTGAACAGATATTGACCCAGTCAATGTGTGGGTAGTTAAAATCACATATTACAACACAGTTATTTTGTCTAGCTGCTATCTTTCATTCATTCATCATTTTATAATCCTCTTCTATCTTTTGATCTGGTGGGTGATAACAAACTCCCAGTGTTAAGCTTCCTTTTGGGCCCACTATTTCGACCCATAGCATTTCCAGAAGCGAATCCAATTTTCTTACCTTCTCAGTCTTACTGGACTGTATACCCTCTTTTTTTGCCCCCTGTAGGGAATTTTTTATTGCATTTTCTATAAACTACAAAGAAACAAGGAAGGGTATACTACAGACTACAGGTGAAAGAAAAGAAAACCTCTAAAAACCCAAGAGGTGGTGGTCATTCACAATGCTTACGACATTGGCTTATAATACATTGGCTTATACTTGCTACATTAAGTGAGTACATAATTCTTTTTGCTTATAATAGCATCTCCAGCAAAAATGACTATATAAAGAGCTCTAAAGAGAAATGCTTCAAATTCATTTAAAATAGGATGTAGAGAAAATCATAACTCATTTTTTCTCCTTTTTGTTTCTCAAACGATAGCTTAATTTAGGGGCAGCCGCCCCCAGTTCAGAAACTGAATCCTCATCGGAAGGTGCAGTGTTCCTTCATCTTCACTTCCCTTGCTACTGCCATCTTCATCTTTATCCTTCTCCCTTGCTGGACTGGCATGTTGATGTAAAAATTTGCGTGCCTTTGCAACAGAGTCAATTCTTTCTTTCTTGTCTTTAAATTTGAAGAGCATGCCTTCAGGAACGGCCCATCTGTAGGGAATGTTATTTTTCTGTAAAAACAGCACCAAGTCTCTGTATTTCTTTCTCTTCTTCCTTATTTCAAATGGAACATCCTTCAAAACTTTTATTTCTTTGTCTTTGATTTTCAGGTTGGCTCCGTTTGTTGCTTTCAAAATTTCATCTCTTACTTGTCTTCTGGAGAATCTCACCACAATCTCGCCGGGCAGATTATTCTTTCTTATGAAATCAGAATACAATATATATATCATATCTATTTCATTTTGTAAAAACTCTGCTTTTAAATCTGCAACCGGACCCAGTAAATCGCACATAGTCTGTTTTAGATCTTCCCCTCTGGCTTCAGGGACCCCCTGAAATCTTAAGACATAGCTTGCTTTTTCCATATGCAGCTGTAGAAGTTGCGCCTCCTCAGTTGCTCACTTTCCCCCCATCTCCTGCATTTGTTTCTGCAGCTTTTGTGTGTTGGCATCCACTTCTTTAAGCTCTTGCTCCATTTTTTCTTTTTAGTAGTTTTATTTAGTTGGCTTTGTTGTGCATCAAATTTTGCATGGAGCGATGTCATTTGCTCCAGCAGAGGGCGCAGAGCCTCAGTCAGCATAGTTTGGAAGTCTTTGGTAGTGTCCTGTCTAGGACCAGAACTCGCTGGGCTGGCATTTCCGGCAGAGAATTTCAGTTTCGATTTCTTATGTTCTCCTCCTTCTTCGGCGCCATGTTTGGGAATTGTTTACTTTTTAGAAATTGTTATCAAAGTCTCAAGCTCCTTTAAAATTGCTTGGTAAGTTCTCAAAAGTTCTTTATTTTAGTCTGCTTGATTTTTCATTCCACTCCCCCCCATTTAGTATCATTTATCAGTCTGCTTTTTTGACTGTATACCCTCTCTGATATACAGAGCCACCCCACCTCCAACCCTCCCCCCATCCTTCTAATATAATTTATAACCAGGAATCACTGTAGCCCACTGATTTTCCTTATCCCACCAAGTTTCTGAACTACCCACAATTTTTATCCCCCCCCCAACCAAGCATTCCAACTCCCCAATTTTACCTTGGACACTTCTCACTGCACATGCTAAACTCATTCAGCCCTTACATATGTATTCTCACCAAGAAGGGCTATACATCCTCTTTGTTTTAGTGGATTTCTTATTTGGAATAGCAGATTTGAATAGCAATTGTAATGTAATACAATTAATATTGGACTGTATTTTTCTGATCTGGTGACAAAGGAGACATACACTGCACAGCCATTCATCCCACCTCAAAGAAAAGTATGCTGTTAGTTACCTCCTTGCTTGAGAGGAGACTAATGGAGTGTAACAACAGGATCTTAATTATTTTCTCTTAAAGGTAAAGGTTCCGTTGCTCGAAAGCCAGTCGAATCCGACTCTAGGGTTGCGGTGCTCATCTCCGTTTCAAAGCCGAAGAGCCAGCGCTGTCCAAAGACGTTTCCGTGGTCATGTGGCCGGCATGACTAAACACCAAGGTGCACGGAACGCTGTTACCTTCCCACCGAAGTGGTCCCTATTTATCTACTTGCAATTTCTTGCTTTTGAACTGCTAGGTTGGCAGGAGATGGAACTAGAGATGGGAGCTCACTCCATCATGTGGCACCCGGGTCTCGAACTGCTGAACTACTGACCTTCCACAGCCTGCAGTTCAGCGTCTTAACCACTTGAGCCACCGCAGCTCGTGGAGAGCCAGTTTGGTGTAGTGGTTAAGTGTGCGGACTCTAATCTGGGAGACCCGGGTTTGATTCCCCACTCCTCCACTTGCACCTGCAGATGTGAATGTGACCTTGGGTCAGTCACAAGCTCTGGCACAGTTGTCCTTGAAAAAGAGCAGTTTGTGTCAGAGTTCTCTCAGCCCCACCCACCTCACAGGGTGTCTATTGTGGGGAGGGGAAGGGAAAGGAGTTTGTAAGCCACTCTGAGACTCCAAGTGAAGGGCGGAGTATAAATCCAATCTCTTCTTCTTCTCTTCTGCTTATTTACTCTTAGCATTCCACAATTAAGAAGTATACATTTACACATTACTCTCCTATTTTGACACATTTATTTGCTCTACTGTGTTTCCCCCCATAATTAAATCCAAACAAATGGTGACCATATAAACTTAACGTTATTCCTGTTTGGTCTTTTCATCTGTTAAAACATTGTCATTATATTGTATACTAATTTGCTGTTCACCGGCTGCCTATATGTATGGACTGTTAACTTCCATTTCAATGTATCTAAGGAAGTTAGCATGCACACAAAAGCTCATACCTTGAATAAAACTTTGTTGGTCTTAAAGGTGCCACTAGACTCAAGCTTTGTTCTATATACATATATGGTTTGGGATGGATTTTAGATAGATGGTAAATATCTTCCCAGTGTCTGCACAAACCCTCACTTCTGAGACATTTGTTGATCTCAAGAGTCTAGCCTTCAGCTTCAGACTACACAATTTGAGGAAGTTATGCCACCTTGTGTAAGATCTTTCTGAATGCAAGCAGGAAAGGGTTAGCTTATGTGACTGTGCCAACACATCATGATGAAACCTCTAGGCTATCCTAAAGCATTAGCATACAGATTTTGAAACTGGCAACGAAGCCTCTGAGTAACAACTAAGTCCAATGAAGTGTAATGGAACAGAGGGAGGAGTGTGGCTTAACAGACTAGAAAGTCTTGTTTCCAGGAATACCTATGAGGAGTTGCCTTCATGAATTTTCAGTCCCTCCGTGTTACTATTTCAACAAGTTGTAATTCTGTTGTGGATTAGATTTTGACCAGCCTCTGGCATTACCTGGTAACAAAAGCCCAAGCAGCATACTGGTAAGTTCTTTGTTTAACTTTTGATTCTTCTTTGTTAAACACTACTTGCTTTGTCTTTGATGAAGATTGTTTTGAAGATTTGGTGGTTTTGAAGATTTGCATTTTGTGTGAAAACTAAATGTGATTTCTAAGTAGTTTGTTATGAACGGTCTCCAAATTCACGTCTCTGTTGGCCTTTAATTATGTGGGAACTTAGGTGTAGAAATGTGTTGTTTCCATGTCAGCAACGATTTTTAGGGTATGTTTGCTCTACAATTTAAATTGATTGAAGGGTAATGTCTCCCAGCTAAAGAATCCTGGGAACTGTAATGTACATAAGAAACTAGTGATATCTAAGGGGCAATTCTTGTGTCTTCCATGAAGACTTTGGATCTCATATTTGTTGGTTATTCTGTGCCTCCCAGGCATGCATGGGCTTGATTTGAATTAGGGTCACTGTGAGCATAGAGAAGGTGCTTCAGCCTTTCCCTTTACCCTGTTTTCTTGATTTGAAATGGTCCCAGAGAGCTGCTATTTGCTCCCTTGGAAAACTGATATGGAATGACTGGTACACATAAGTTTCCCCAGTAGGGCAAATAGTGATTCCTGGGCCCATTTCAGGCCTAGAAAATGGTGTCTGGAGAAAAGGGTTTAAACTGGCTTAAATATACAGTGCATATTCACCCCAAATTTTAAAAACAAAAACTGTTCCAAGGCAAAATGGAAGATAACTTCCCTGGAGTAACATGCTGTCTGATCTCACACCTATATTGAAATATCTGTTTTCATCCCTCAGAACTTTTATTCCTCATTTCCTTTCTGTCATCTTCCTCACATATGTTTCTGGACAACTAAGTGCTAAGTCATAACCAGTAAGTTAAGATGAGAAAAGTGAGGGATAAGCAGGAAAAACAATAGTATACAAAAATAAAGTAGCTAGCTGTCAGGATGACATTTAATAACTTGGGGGCACTGAGAACATGTCTGCTACTACCAATGAAGAGCAATATCACACCTTAATCTAGCACCAGTAGCTATATGCCACTTTAAGGTAAAGGTCCCCTTGCTCGAAAGCCAGTCGAACCCGACTCTAGGGTTGCAGTGCTCATCTCCGTTTCAAAGCCGAAGAGCCAGCGCTGTCCGAAGACGTTTCCGTGGTCATGTGGCCGGCATGACTAAACGCCAAGGCGCACAGAACGCTGTTACCTTCCCACCGAAGTGGTCCCTATTTATCTACTTGCAATTTCTTACTTTTGAACTGCTAGGTTGGCAGGAGCTGGAACTAGAGACGGGAGCTAACCCTATCTTGCGGCACCCGGGTCTTGAACCGCTGAACTACTGACCTTCCACAGCCTGCAGTTCAGCGTCTTAACCACTTGAGCCACTTTACCTTAGCCCAAAAGATCCAAACACACACATTCAGAGTCCTTTAAGCACGAAATTAGCAACGAATTTCAGACCAAGAAAAAGTTCCACACAGTATAATATTTTGAAACCCAGGCACATTTAAGCGTGAGTTTAAGTTCACTGGTTCATTTGGGAGCAAACTTGTAGTGGCTGATTTCACACAAAGGTTTTTCTCCATTTCAGCAACAGTCACGCACTTTTGTTGTTGTTGTTTCTACATTATGTTGTCTGCCTATTAGTATTCTAATGTAAATGACCACAGAGGGACACCCAGTACCTTCTAGCAGTCAGCATTACCAGAAGATTCAAGTACTGTGTTATTCTGGAGCAAATTCATGTTGTTGTTTCTTTTAAGCGTAATATTGTGCCATTCTTGAACATTGCAATGCCTGCACCAAAACATTTTAAAAGTGGCCAGAGATTCATGATGGAGGCATGACAACAGCAGAGGTGGGGGTTCAATCTGTATTTGATGTGAAAGGGAAACCATGGCTAAGAAGAGTAAAAAATGATATTATCCTGTGCTGTGTGGAGTAACAATTGCCCCAGCAATATGACTACTGTGGAAAAAACTCCCTTGTGTGAAATTAGCCACTGTCACAAGATGATGATTATTGCAAGGAATTGGTGAGAGTATCTCAGTTTTAAAGAAATAAAAATGAGATAACATGTACATCTGCAACCAGAATATTGTCAGAAGTCCAAAATAAATAACATGTAAAATAGGTCTTCTTTCTGTTATAACTCATGAGGCTCTGACTGAAATTGTCGAAGTACACATCGCTCCCTTTCTTCCTCTCGAACATTCCTCCACGCCCACTGACTTCACTGGAATTAGAAGGGTGTAACTCTGTTTAGGATTGCAGTGTAGCCCCATTGTGTTTTATCTTTGTCACCTGTCCAGTTTCGCCATGTGATCCAGATTAGAATGTAGCAACTACTGAGGCAACAAAGTCAAAAGCTGTTCCTGGGCACACCCTCTCCTAAAGCACTGCAATCAGGAAATAAACTCGACAATTAGTACATCAATTAATAACTAGTCTCTCATATAAATTAGATGGGCAGGAACATGCTGCCCACAAGCTTCAGTACTTAATGTACCATTTTCTCCAGTCCTTGTTACCTATCATGCTAAGAGAACTAGATGCAAAAGGGAGCACGTGTCATTTGCAGACCAATTTGCTTCCAAAAGGACTAAGCCTGACTTTTATTTATTTAGCCAGTTGGTTTTCATCTCTCTCATCTACTGCAGACCAGTAACCATCTCAATAAAATAGCCCATAAAACAGAATAAAAATTAATACTCTAATACATGATACTTAAATGCAGCGAATTTTATTGTAGGCAGTAAAATTACAGTAATAAGATTCAGCACAACATATTAAAGGTTCAGGCTAAAACTATTTGATAGAGCAATAAATAAAAATGACCGTTAAATAAAATAAAAGACTTACAGTACATTCAAGCAGCCATTTCAAAAACCTCTAAAAACTCCAACAGTGCATTAAAACCTCAGTTAAACCTGGAAAGACCCCTGGAAAAGACTAGTGTGTTTAGATTTCACTGGAAGATGAACAGGGAAAGGAATGAAGGGAGGGAGTTCTAGCTTGGGAGTGCCTGCTGAATAAGCTCAGCCATGACAGTCTAACAACTGTTGGCTTCCACAGTAGGAGCTCAATGGTGGATCACAAATCCCAGGAAGATAGATGTGAGTGTAGAGATGCTCATTTAAAGACCAAGAACCTAAAGTTTTATAGGTCAACACATGTGCCTTGAATTGAACCCTGAAACAAATTTTGTAATGTAAGTGGAAACCTGTTAATACCCTGGCCAGCATATTTTATACCAAATGATGCTTCCACATGATGTTCAAGGGCAGCCCCACATACACTGTGTAACTGTAGTTCAATCTGAATGTTATCAGAGCATGAATGATTGTGCTTAGGTCCCCTTTCTCCAAGAATGTTTGTAATTGGCAAACGATCTGAAGCTGAAACATAGAAACATAGAACTGGAAGGTACCCCAAGGCTCATCTAGTCCTACCCCTTGCACAATGCAAAAAATACAGTGATAATTCAATACCCTCAAGCTGCGAAATTTTCTAGGGCACCATCCAAAACAAGTTGTATACCTATTCCTGGGATTCTGCTTTACAGTCCTACTGTCTTGTTTGGATTGTTTCAGTTTGTTTGCCCTCACTGCTCACCCAGACTTCCACGACTCCTGATGCTGACCTGGAGTGTCCACCACTTCCCTAGATTTCGATGAACAGGAGATATAGAGTTGGGTATCCCCAGGCCCGTAGCCAGGATTTTGTAATTTGGGGGGGCCTTTAAATTATTCAAGGGGTACTGGTGTCATAAATAAAATAAAATAAATCTAAAACTCACTTTTGCGGTGTTCGCGCTCTGCCTGCCTATGCAGGGAGGTAAGCTGTGCTTGGGGAAGGGGGGGGCAGTGGGGAGTCCTCTGGGCTGCCCAGAGAGCGGGGGGGATGGGGGATGGAGGTCGGGGGCCTTGGCAGGAAGTCGGGGGGGCAGGCCCCGAAATGCCCCACTGTAGCTACAGGCCTGGGTATCCCTATTCTGCCACTAAGCTTGTTGGGTCACCTTGGGCTAGTCATTTTCTTTTCCCACTTCACCTAACTCAAAGAATTGTTGTGAGAACAAAATGAGGAAGGGAAAACACTGAGCTAGATCCTACAGTCTGTCAAAAGAAGGTGCTGATGGTCACAGATCTTGCCCATGTTCCTTCCTCCAAAGCCATAATTTCTGGGGTTGTGGGACCCACACAGATGAATAGTGCTGTGGGTTGGGAATCTGTGATGAGGGGAGGGAACAGGGTGCGAATCACCTCTCCTGTCTCTACCAGTAAGATAGGACAGGAAATGAAGAAAGAGGCAATTAAAATTGTGACGGCCTGGTTACAGAGATGCTTTTTTCAATGGGCCAAAGCCAGTAGCCACTATTGTTCCAAGCCTGTAGTAATATCGACTTCCCCTCTTCCCAAGTAGATTGTAGGAGACAGCGTTGTGTGCAGTTACAGGGAGGAAGTGAACAGCTAGCTTGCTCAGCTGTTGTTGAAGCCGTGTCTGTAGCACCCAGAGCCAAAACAAAAGGAGAAGTCATGGGCAAGACAGCAGTAAAGAACCAACACCGTGACTGAATGAAAAACAACAACAACAAATTATAAACAGTTGTTAAATATATATTGCGTCACAGTGGTTATTAGAAGCACAGGTATATTAAGGCAAAAAGTCCTCTTAAAGCCAAAGAGTCAAAGGAAAAATCCTCTTAAAAGACATAAAAAGTCTGTGAAAGTACATAAATCCACAGTCAATCTGATACCTTCTGGTATAAGGAAGCAGATGGTCCTCTTATTGAAAGGCAGTAAATCATCAGATGACAGGAACCTGTTTCAAAGCGAGATTGTTCTCAAGTCTACTTACCATAATAAAGTGTATGAAGGCAGGGACCTCACCCAAAAAGTCTCCATAATCTCTAAATGCTGCAAGGTGACAAACGCCCAAGCAGTCTAATATGCCAAAGAAGCCGCACAGAGGGAGGGTTTCAGATTTACTGTGGATTTATGTACTTTCACAGACTTTTTACGT